CGGTGGTGGTGGACGACGATGGTGATGGACGGTGATGGTGGATGGTGGTAGTGGTGGACGGTGGCGGTGGACGGTTGTGGTGGTGAAGAGAAGTAGAAAAAAAAGGAGAAGATGTTAGAAGACATTGGTTAATGTCTTCTCCAAGAAGATGCCAGGAAGACCTTTTTGAGTGAAATGTCTTCCAAAAAACAAACAATCTGCAGAGCCCATAATCTGCGCGCGTCTGCGCGGCGCAGACAAAAGATGCCAGAAAGTCTTCTGCCAGAAAAACAAACACCCCCTTACTCTTGAGACAGCAACATAGAGTTGTCCATGACTAAACACAGGTTTCTGTAACAATAGTCCAACATGTTTCAGATATTGTCCCTGACTCTTGTTAATCGTTATTGCGTACGAAGTAACCACATGAAATTGTCTACTTTGAAACTTGAATTAAATTCTTGTATCAGACAGTGTAAATGATAGTATTGGAATAATGACTTCTTCACCCATATGACTTCCTGATAAAAATTTTCTTGTATTGAGTGATTAGCCAACTGGGTTACTATCAACCGTGTACCATTACATAAACTCATTGAATGATCAATATTTCTCAACAACATAATGTGCGTGCCTACCTTCAAAGTTAACTCATGATTCAGTACACCAGAAACACGAATTTTATTTAAGAAGGGTTAAATTTTTCAAAATTGGGTGCATAATTATTCTTACCATTATTATTTTTTACGAAATTATGTGTATAATTGTATAACTTACATTTTTTAATTATTTCTAATTTTTAATTAATACGTTAATTATTATAAATATAATAGTTATATTAACTTCACGCTTAACATTTTATATTACTCACGTTAATTATTATAAAAATAATAGCTATATTAACTTCACGCTTACACAAAAAAGGTTAAAAATGACAGTTACTTATTCTTGCAAAACTTTTGGGCGTTTCCAATCAGTACTCATAATAACGTTGGTTAATTATTATTATTATTAGCATATAAAACATAAGTCAATACGTTAATTTTTAGCATATAATAAATCAGTACTCATAATAACATTGGTTCTTATCATTTTATATTAGAGTAATTTGCCTAAATAGGATTAAAACATAATGACTTTTTCAATATAAGACCATAAGTTTTTATTTCCCACTATAAGACGATTGGTCATTATCTATTAATCATTATTCAAATAAATGTCCAGAATTACTTGGACATTATTCTTCTCACTGGTCATTATTAAGTCCTATTTAGAAAATAAAAAAACATTTAACTCCTACATTGGCAAATGACTTATGTTTTAGTCATATTCACTGCAAATTTTTCTTTATATTACTCACGTTAATTATTACAAAAATAATAGCTATATTAACTTCACGCTTACAAAAAAAGGTTAAAAATGAGAGTTACTTATTCTTGCAAAAAATTCGGACGTTTCCACCAAAGAATTAACGTTGGTTACTTACCATTTTAAAACCATTTTGGACATGTTACTGTCATTACTTACCATTAGATCTAAGTACCAGTATAATGTTACTTACCATTTCGTTGGTTACTTACCAAACAAAAACTTTACTATAATTTGGTCACTTACCATTTTAATCTCACAATTGCCATTTATAATTGTCACTTCTTTGGGCGGGAAAACTATATGTTGACTCCATCTCTTTTTAAATAAAGTATGGATAAATAATATATTTGCAATTATACTTTATACTCCGTATATTACTTAGGGCTGGACACGGTACCGGTTCGGTACCGTTACCGGCGCTGGTACCGGCGGTACCTGCAACCGTCCTCGTCGGCCGTTTCGTCACCCGGTACCAGGAACCGGTACCGGCACCGCCCCACTCGGTACCGGTTCCGGTGCCAACATTTCCGTCCCGGAACCGGCGGTACCGGTACCGGTTCTGGTACCGTACCGTGAATTTTTTTTCTTTTCCGGCAGTTCAACCATCGCCCTCAACTCAAGCAGCCGCTCGAACTCTCGATTCTCGAAGAACATTGAAGGAAGAAGCACGCCAAATGGCCAATACTCCATGGCCCAATATCCCAATTTCTCAAAAAAAAGAAGAAGAAGAGAACGGAGTACCGGTACCGCAAGAAATTGGTGACTATGGCGAGTCGGCGACTGGAAACTATTGGCGACTATGGCGAGTCGGCGACTGGAAACCGCAAGAAATTGGTGGCCGGTCTAGTACCGGAACCGGTACTGGCCGGTCCGGTCACGGTACCGGTACCAAGGGGTGGCGGTACCTGAACCGGCGGTTCCGGAACCGGAACCGTCCCGGAACCGGAACCGTACCGTGTCCACCCTAATATTACTTCGTACAAGATTTTGTTTTAAATATCAAACATGTCACCTAATGTAATCAAACTTATTTTTCTTTCATGATTGACATCTTATTTTTACATTTTTTAAGTTTTACTCCAATTTTAGTCTTTTTCTCTAAACTACTTTGACTTACAATTTTTTAAAATAAAAATCAGAAAACTGAGCAAATTTTAATTAATAAAGGGAATGGTGAGATGTCTTATATAAAGTTAGATTGATAAAACATTCTATGTCAGTATTTTATCCATAATTTTTTTTACTATTGTTTAACATATTGATGTTTTCCGGTTTTATCATTTAAGTTAATATACAAAAAAATGTCTTAAGTTAAAGAAAAAAAATTATGAGTGTGAATCGGAAAAATAGTGAGATGGGAAAATAATTTATAAACTATAGTTATGAACATAGCAGTTGTAATAATAATAAGAGTAAATTCCATAATTAGTCCTTTATAACAGGGGGGTTTCCATATTTAGTCATCTATTATCAAATATTACCCAAGTGGTCCTTCTTTTATGGGTACCTTTCCACAAATAGTCCTTTTTTGATCTTCTATCATGTTGGTGTTAATTTGAGGGCTAAAAATGTAATTTCACAATGATAATATATATCTTTTTTGTCATAAACAGTTCCAAAGACTGTTCCGTTTGCGTCGTTTGTAAATTACAGTCGCTTTTTACGACAACTATAGTCTACAAATGTGATCTTTCGTCAGAATCTTAGCCCACAATCATAGTCATTATTTTTGTGTTATCCGCTTAACCAATATCAGAACACGTCACTTGACATAATGTTGACGTCAAATTATACTTTTAGCCTTTAAATTAACACCAACACGGCAGAAGATCAAAAAAGGACCATTTGTGGAAAGGTACCCTTAAAAAAAGGACTACGAGAGTAATATTTGATAATAGAGGACTAAATATGGGAACCCCCCTGTTATAAAAGACTAATTATGGAATTTACTCTAATAATAATAACAACAACAATAATATTCACATTAAAAATATATCATTTTTTGAGTAATTGGTTGGGGAGTAAAAAGAGTTTGAAGAAAATAAGAATAGTTAGAAGGAAATGAAAAAAACTGGAAGAAGTTTGTAGAAAATAAAAAAAACTAGAAGGAATTGGAATAAATTGTAAATTAAAGCCCTAGAGAACCTGCTCTAAATTTTGAAATTTAATAAAGTAATTTGCCAAGAGATATTGAGGGAAAATCGAAGAGCGGACCAAAAAAGGATCCCTGCTGCGTGCAGTTTTCTCTTACAGAAAACAGAGCATTCTGTATTTCCGAGCCGGTAGAATCAGAGTCAAGCTAGGGTTTTGGGTGCAAGTGGGAGAGAATGGAGCTGAAGGGGCGTCGGAGTGATGAAGATCTGTCAAGTTCGAAGCGTCGTCGCCTATCAGGTTGTTTAATTTAAATTCTCAAAGGTCAATTGTGGACTAGTTACATGTATGTTCAATTAATTTACAGCCTAAATCGCATCAAATTTTGATTTGATTCAATTGCTGTGTAGAACGGACACTGAAGCTTTTAGAGGAGAAGGTATCCTTTCCCAATGTATCCAAGTGTCGAAGGAAACGCAACAAACTAGTCTTCTCCTGCTTCGGGGATACTCACGAGCTCCCTGACTCACTTGCCCTAAATAAGGAATATAATATCGGCTCATATTTTGACACCGAATGCCCAGTTTATTCTGAATCCTTCCAATATGCACCAAATGTCGAGGTTGGCAAACAACTGGATGTTTTAGATTTGCTCGGGGATAACCTCTTCAGTTTCAGCACTAGTAGCCACAACGTTCCTAGCATTCTGCCCACCGTATTCACAGGTTATGTGGGTTCATGTGATCCGAATAAAGGCACGGATAAGGGTTTTAAACCAGGCATGTGCATGCCTAACTCGGGCATGAGTAGGCCAGGTAAGGGTAGTCGTAATCCTCAAAGGATTCAACCCCGCATATTGAGACGTTGTGTTAATGTTGATAAAGGTGTTTTGGCCTCAACCTCAAGCACAACAACAGGCAAGGAGAATGTTAATGTCGAAAGCACCCTGAACCTAAAGGGTAAATATGTCATGATTTGTTGTGCGTATGTGCCTTCGATATGGTGTTCAACCGATGGACCCGTGGTTTATCACACAGCTTTAGCTTCTCATGAGCTCGCGAGAAGAGATGATTTCGTGTTGGTGGTGGTGCCAATGATGAGGGAGGGTTTCACTCATTCTCGCTCTGCCTATCTACACTTCTTGTCGGGTTTTTCCTGCCATGCTGTCCCTTTCCATGACTCTCGTCGGCGTGAGTACATTTGCTCAGCACTCAGGTTTGATGGTAAGCTTAAGGTCGTGATTCTAGATCCATCTCAAAAGATCCTTTACCATGGCCCGCCCAACATGTTTTTTGAGTTTGGGGGAGCTGAGCATGACTGCTTTCCTTTTACTCCAGAGAGAATGGAGAATTGTTTATACCGTGATTCTATTCTGAAGGATCTCTCCCTCAATGAGATTTTGGGCCTCAGTGACACTGATGTTCTATGGAATGTTTTGAAGGATGGTTGTATAACTATATCAGAACTTAAACAGAAGTTTGTGGGCCTTTACGTGTGCTCTGAGGGTACAAGTTTAAGGAGCCTTCAGGAGGTTCACGACGAATGTAGAAGGCAAAAGTATGAGCTTGAGATTGTGGTGGTGTGTTGTCCCTGCCATAGGCAGGCTCCCCCAAAGTTGCATGAGGAGTTGATCATTGAAGCTCTTGCAAGTCTTAAGCTGCTAGGCTGGTGGTTTTTTCCCTTCGAAAACACCGTGTGCCACAGGCTAGGGCGAATGTGTAAAGGGGAGCGTTATGAGGAAGGTCTTTTCATAGTGGATCCTATTGAAAAGCATGTGGATCCCTATGGATTACCAATCATCCTTGACTTCGGCGTGGAAGATTATCCCTTCACTAGGAGGAAATTAATTGAGAAGGAATTGCAAAGGAAAATGGGACTGAGATTGAACTCATTACTACTTCCTTGGGGAACTGTTACTGCCTCACTTGATAGCCACGACGTATTTCGTTTTCCGACGGGAATGCTTGAGAACAAGATTGTTGTTCTTTATCTGTACATAGAGCCGTGGAAACTTCTAGCTGATAAATTAGCTGCATGGCATAAAAAGAATATTAAAAGAAAGCATTCAAATGTTGTTGAGGTGGTTGCGGTAAGCATAGATGGCAGCGGCGCTAGTGAGAAACACTTGATGGATAAGGGGTGGTTTGTATGCCGCGCTGACCCATCCAAGTCAGCTAAACTCTGTGATGAATACTTCCATCCTCTATGCGGGGTACACGAGACTCTTGTTGCATTTGGTGTAGATGGCCGGATTCAATCTATGGATCCGAATCACATTTTGGAATCTCAATTTCCTCCTTTCCATGGCAATCTACGTGAAGAGATTGCTCGGGAATTTGAAGACGCTGGGTTTCATTACATGCAGGGCACATTGATGACTGACTAATTTTGAAGGGTTTGCATGCTATACTGATTTTTGAATTGATGTCCTGATAATTATTTAGGTCAACCATTTAAATTAATTATTGTGATACATTTTTAGTTAAAATAGTTTTGTGAAATTATGACCCTTCTTCAAGGGTTTTCTTTTCGATTCTTTTCCTTGATGTTTTTTTTAACCAACCAGGTAAGAATTTGTTGTGGGTAATGATTTTTTATTTGTTTAAAATTTTGTGAGGGCATTCAAAGCTATGAATGAACTCCTTAACATTTAAGTTGCTGAATATCTTCCTAGCTAGTAGTATTATACTATTATGTCCAATAACATTATTATAACCTAATATTTGGTCCTTTTCTTGTTTGTTACTTCTGTCTTCCTCTCCGATTTAGTGCTAAATACACTAGCAACTCTTGCGTATGGTTTTGAATACTCTCTTGAACTTTGTAGTCTCACTCTTTGTGTGAAGCATTAGAGCATTTGAAATACCCGTGAAGTCCTAGAAGTTTCAAACTGTGATTGTAAAATTTTTCTTTGTCAATGTCAATTTTAATTTACCTCACAGTTTCAAACTAGGGTTTCAAGATTCTATTTTTAAATTTTTTAATTCACATTTTGTTAAATTAAATTAATAAAACTTCATTAATGAATATGAAAATAATTTTTCAAATTAAAAAATTACATTCAATAAAAAAGAACATTTAAATAAAAAAAATCCTAATGAAAAAACTAAGATAAAATTATATTTGGCTTTGATTTTTTTCTTCTCTTATAAAGCGTATGTATGAAGCTCGTTAACGTATCAAGGTTGCTTTTCATTATTTCAATCTCCTCCTCTTATCTCTTTAGAGAATTCACAATGACCAGATGAATCATGCTTGATATTCTCGTGTGTAGAGCAATGCACTCCCTATCTAGCATTTTAGGACCAATGGTGCAACGTTTTAAATTGTTCAAGGGTTTTTGGTGATGCCCTTGAAGATGATGCCCTCTTTCCCTTTGCCTTATCCCTACCGACGGGTTGTGTCGGCTCTAGAGGGGTCGGAATATCATCGTCGTCACTAAACAACATTGACATCCAACGAGCGTTGAACCCCCTAGACCTACTATAATCATCGGACTCCGGTGTCTTGGGCCAATTTGATCGAGAGACCTCATTCTAGACCAAAGCCCACCTTGGGCGTACACATCTCTCACACTTTCATATTTGAGAAAGATGTACTCCGTATTATACTGGTCTTGATACGTGTTCAACGTCATTTTTAAAACATCTTGGTCACTAGCCTCCCCACTTTGCCGAGTGAGGATGGCAGAGTTGTATATACCAACGATCTTATTGACTTTTGCAATCAAGTCGTGATATTCAAAGGAGATGACATCGGCGCTACGATGGGGCTCGACATTTATAAGAGGGTGAAATTTAGCCATTACCCTACTCCAAAAGCCGTCTGCATTTTTAGTCGTCCCTAAACGCGAAAAAAACTTGCAAGCAAAAAAAATATAAGTAAAAAAATTAAGAAAAATTGCAAAGTAAAAAAATTAACCTTTAATCGGCTCTTTAGAAACGTTCACCTAGGGCTGGGTCGGAAAAATTGAAAACCGAACCGAAAAAAATCGAAACGAGCTAGAAAAAAAACCGAACCGAAAAAACCGAAACCGAATGTAAAAAAACCGAACCGAACCGTTATTGTTTGGTTCCGTTTTGGTTTTTACTTTAAAAACTGAACCGAACCGAATAAACCGAACTTATTTATATGCTTCTTTTTTATGTATATGAGTATATGTGATATGTATAAAAATCATATAAACAAATATGCAAATATATTATTAGTTGATTAAAGTTTTTTAATTAACTATTAATTAAACATTTTAACCATGTTATAAACTTTAAAAAGTCTAAGAGATATAAATACCAATAACTAATCCTAATATACAATTATACTCCGTATAATATTAAAAATTAATATGAGTAGTTAACATACTTACATAAAAAAACTTTGATGTTATAATGTAAATAAAAGTATTATATAAAAAAAACATAAATTCTCTATAGTTGATTTACATACGATATCTTTAGGACTATTTGGAATCTCCTAGATGTTTGTTAGGCACTTGACACATATTTTGTATGTAAAATTGAACCGAATAGAACACTAACCTTCCGTTCGGCATTTTTTTGTGTGTAAAAATCAAGCAAAAAAACCAAACCCAAACTTACGTATTGTTATTGTTTCGTCGAGTTAGTATTTAGACAATTTTTAATGCTTATAAGTATTTACTTTTATAAACCGAAAAAACCGAAATAAACCAAAATAAAAACCGCATAAAACCGAACTGAATAACCAACGGTTTACATATTTTTTATGTAAAACCGAACCGAACCGCCAACTTACCTTCCGTTTTGTCTTTGGTTTTGGGTAAAAACCGAACCGCCAAAACCAAACCCACCCCTACGTTCACCTGGGTCCCCGATTCCTCCTTCGTCGCCACCCACACTTGCTTTGCCGCCCGACTTGTGGAGTCTTCATTGTGCGCGACCTTTAAATTTTCGGATTGGTTTCGTTTCAGGGACACTCTCAATGGGTGTGGGTTTGACCGTTCCCGAAATTTGTGATGGATTTGGTAATAATTAGCATTGACACTTGAGAAATTGCAAAAGTTATGATCCAAAATATGCCTTTGGATAATATCTAGAAATATTAAAAAAATAAATAGGTTAAGAGAGCAGATTGAGAAGAGTGATTTTTAAAATAGTGAGGGATGGTTAAATTAGAATTTGGAAAAGATAAAAATAGAAAAACTGACTGTTTGACGGCGAGTTTGGGGGGAGAGGAGGGAGGGTGATGTTCCACGTTGTTGCGGACACCTATGTGGCACCCCCGGGCCATCACGACGCACCACAAGCGACCACACCGCATGGTCTTCAGGAGGAAAAAATACATTCTCTATGGGAGTAATGCTTAGAGTATACCAAACATTTGTGCCCCATCTCTACCCACACATACCTTATCCACCTCCCAAACTTCTTTTCCCATCTTTTAGGGTACACCACCTCATTCATTCATTGTCTCCTCCAATTTTACAAATCAACCTTTGTCTCCGGCGGATAGATCTACAGTTCTACACCAACTAGGACCGGTGGTTATCATCAATCTCATTTACTTTGGGTAAAATTTATGGACATTAATACTCAGCAACTCTTCATTTTTTTTTTTGCTCACTTCTTCTATTTCTCATTAGCACTTTCATTTTTATATTTTTCAGGTGGACAACATGAACATCTTGAACTGGCTAATCTGTGGTAAGAGCTAGGTTTTACGGTTCTAGTAGCTAAATTCAGTCATTTACATATTATGATATGGTTCTAGAAATCTTTCCAAAATCATGTGTGTAATGAACTTCACAATGACTTAGTCAAAGTGATTTTGCCAAAATCAGATGTGTAATGTATTTGGAAAGCACCTAAATTTCTCCCAATTTCTGAGATTTCTTTTTCTGGTGTGGTTTCAGTCTTTTATAGTAATGACTTTCATACCCTCACAGGGTCCATAAACCCACACAAGGTCCAAGCCCAAAATGTTGTGAGGGCACAAAATTATAAGGGCCATATGCTAGTACGAAATTACAAGGCCTTGAATGTAAATAATTTGTCAAACCCAATCAGAACCTAGAAAAAATTAAGATAGTTTTTATTATATCAATCATAAACCACTAACAGCGCATGATGATGATGATGATGATGATAAAAATAAAAATAATAATAAATACAACAATAATAATAATAATAATAAACATTTAATAGCTTAACCACTACTTGTCTAGTTTTGTTTCCAGTGAGTAGGTTTTTGTTTTATTACTGTGGTACATGGTGGTGTCCTGCTGTATTGTGTCATATGGTGATGCATGGGACTTGTAGGGAGAGTCTCAAGGACAGGGCAAAGACAGAGCCAATCGCAAGGTGGAGTACACTGAGGTATCTCTTGTTGCCCACCCCACTTTGGTGGAACCCACCCACCACCACCCTACTCCAACTGCACCCAATCCCCAATCTACTCTAGTTGCTCCCTCTCCCCCTGTGGGATTTTTTGCCGTGTTCACATCTGCCAAAGCATTTGATGCTATTGGCAAGGGGAGGCTTACAGAAGGAATTTGTAAAAGAGAGTGGCTGTTACATGGGTTATGGCCCAACCCGAAACAAGCGACAAAAATAACTAAAGATTATATCAAACCCGAAGACTTGATAGAATCTTATCCCGCAATAGAAGATGCTTGGAGATCCATTGACAGGAAGCGGACGTCAAGGGAATTAATGGTAACCCAATGGGCCAAACATGGCGTCTACAACCCAAGGATTGATGCCGTGGACTATTTTAATCTGGGCGTGCTAGTGAACCAAGAGGAAAAAGAGCTTGAAGAGAACATCTGTACTGAGTAGTTTTTATACTTCCTTATGTTTAACATTCATAATTTTTAAAACTAGACCTACTTGAATACCTAATTATTCTTGAGTTGTGTTAAACAGATGCAGAGATATCAAGTTCATTTAAAGGGCCCGTGATTGAAGGGCATGATGAATGGACCACTTGGCGTCCAGTCTCGGTGTCGGCGCTCTCCGAGAGGCTCGGAAATATTTATGGTTGTCGGCCAAGCATCAAGGCCATCAGGGTGAAAGGAAAACTTCTACTGCATGAGATAGGCTTTGAGATAGAGCACGACCCAAGCACCGCAAGCTACAGAAAACACAACGTCGATGCATCAGAGCTTTATAAATCATGTCGCTCAGAAGACATGATATTGATGTAGAGGTGCCTAATGTGTGTTTTATTTGAGTGTTTTTGTTTGTTAAATATCTACTGTTATGGTGCTCCTGTTGATGCCTATTCTATTTGAAGTGTTTTGTTTGTTAGAGATCTATTTTTATGGTGTTGTAGGAACACACCTTAATTTCATCAATATTAGTGATTATACTTTTAATGACTCGTCTTATACTTAAACTTGATGATATTGTATCCCTAAATGCATGTACACTTAGCCTTGGAGTAAACACGAGCAGCTCTACGAAAGGTAAATTTCGAAAGGTAAATGTGAATGTGAAACTCTAGAAGAGCAATGTTGATTTGTCATATTTACCTGGTAAAAAACATTTTGCATCACTATCCTTATTGTTCCTTTATTTAATTTAACTTGCATGATTGGAAATTTTACTTATATTCCAACGATTTAGAGCTTTCATAGCCCCATGGACAGCTGGAAGAGTGACAATACCATTTTGTTGGAGCAATCTATCTGAAAGTATTTTGCTTTTGGTGATGAAAGTTGTTCATTGTCGTATATGTGGTGAACCAAACTTATTGTGCTTCACTTTTATTGACTTTATTTACTCCCTCCGTCCCGTGAAACATGGGACATTTGCTTTTTAGGAGGGATTTAAGGGAGTATATTTTGGTATTGAATTTCCAAAAATGTCCTTTGATGTGATGGGTAAAAGTATGATTTGATGGATAGATTATTAGTAAAAAGGTATGATGTGATAGTTAGGGTATGAAAAAGTAAGGGGTAAAAGTGACTTTTTAATAGAAATGAGAAATGTTTTGTGGGACGGATAAAAAAAGAAAGAGGAAATGTTTCACGGGACGGAGGTAGTATTATTGACCAAAGTTAAGATGAAAGGTGCACTATTTAAACAATGAGCTTGAACCTGACAAAAAATGGAACCAACTTGTTTTTGTCCCAAGACCGGCCCGAAATTATTGGACTTTGAACAAAGGCTTGGTTGACCAAGTCCAAAGATGACCGAACCCGAAATAAGCCGCTAAAATGGGTAAAACTCGATGGAACCCAAACACGATCTTACCGACCCGCTAACATAACAATTTTTTAAAATTGTGTTTTTTAATATGAAAAAATAATGTAATAAAAATAAAATTAAATTTGTATTTTTTTCCTACTCATTTTAAGTTTTAGTGTATTTTTCAAATAAGTTTTAAATGATATCACGTAGTTATCTTATGTTGTTTTCAAGAGTGATACTCCCTCCCTCCCCGAGTATTTGTCATCTTTTGACTTTTTTCAATAAAAATTGATAAATTTTAACCTCAAATTAAATAAAAATGATATTAGATATTGATACAAAAATAACTTTATTAGATTTATAATCTAAAATATTTTCAAAATATTATATTATCTAATTAATATACAATATATCTTTTATTTAATTATAGGTCAAAAGTTGAAAACGGTTTAGTGAAAAAAGTCAAAACTGGACATATACTCGGAGGGAGAGGTAGTATATATTAGATTTTTTATATCATTCATAATATTGTTAAGCACAACTAAAAAGTACTACCTCCGTCCCATAGTGTTTGTCCAATTTTGATTTTTTTAAGAAAACTTTTTTCAACATTTGGCCTTTAATTAAATAAAATGTATATTGTATATTAATTAAATAAAATAATATTTTGAAAATAGCTTATATAATAAATCTAATAAAACTATTTTTGTATCAATATCTAATATTATTTTTATTTAATTTGGGGTGAGAGCTTACTAATTTTGATCAAAAGTCAAAAGTAGACAAATATCCTGAGACGGAGGGAGTAATTAGAATTTAAGAAAAAATACTCTGAGAGGTTAAATTTATCTATATTGATATATTATTTTTTTAGTGCAAAATACAAGTGCTAGTATGAAATGAAAACTTTTAAAAATAAATCTAACTGGGAGGGTTGACCCAAACCTAATGATACTACTCATAAATGTATTTCTCAATCAGAACCTGAATTTACCCGAATCTGATGAGAATCGAACAACGAAGTAACCAAAACGGACCAAACAACTTAAGTGCTCTAAATTTGTACTATGATCCATAGGAATTTGTGGTTGTTATTGTCATTGCCTTATAATCAAAGTATTACGGAATACATTTATTTGGGGTTGAGGGAGTATTTTTTCCATTTCAGACCGCCTAAAAAACACCTTATACTATGCTGCCCCACAATCATTTAACAACCTCGTTCCCTACGTTGCCCAGTTCGTAAAATTGATTGTTTCTACCCCTCACCGTAAACCCCACCCCAACCCGAACCTACCTCCTAACCCCTTCAATTGAGCTCCCAAGTTTATTTGACACTGAAGTCAAAATTTTGACTCCAAAGTCAAATAAACTTGGGGGTGCAATTGAAAGAGTTAAGGGGTGGATTCAGGTCGAGATGGAGTGGGGCGTGAATCAGCGGGTTAGGACGGTAGAAATCATCAATTTTACGAATGAAGTATCGAGACAATGTCAAGGAAGCATTCCCATTTTTTAGGCTCCGTTAGGTACACAGAATCCAAACAATGAAATTAAATTTGGGGACAACAATTTTAATTTTAGTGTTTGGTAGCACAAAAATATGTGAATTTGGAATTAGTAGTGCTAAAAAAGAATTGGAATTAAAGAATTCAATTCCACCCAAATCAATTCTATAGAATTCTAACTCTCAATTCAATTCTAATTTCATCAATTCTATGTACCTAACAGACACTTATTTTTTTGCAACCGTTTTTCAATCTAAATTAGACTCATAAAAATACAGAGTATCACTTTTGTCAAATGTTAAAAAAAAATTGGGAAAAATGGAGTACTACATATAAATACTCGCGGTAAAATGATTATGGGTGTTTGCTAAAACCACTACTCCTATTGCCAAATCCACACCTTCTATCATAAATGCACAACTATGTCCTTATAATTGCAAAAATGGGATAGTTTATTAACAAATGGGCTAATTTAAGGGTAAAATTAGACATTTATTGTATATGGGGTAGATTTAACCAAATGAAAAGTGCATTTAACACCATTTGATTATATAATTCGTTAAATGACCCATGAAAATTGGTTATTGGTACAATAACAACCAAGTAAAATTCCACATAAGTAGGGTTGAAGATGGGGAAAGTGTGTAAGCATTCTTTACTCATACTCCAAAGTATAGAGATCCAAAGTATAGAGATTGTTTCGAAGAATCCCCAACTCGAGCAACATAAAAAGCACATTGCATGACAAAGGATCGAAGAATCAGAGAGCAAACAAGGGTTCAGAAAAAACACAAAGAGAGAGATAAACAGCACACAAAGCGCCACTGCAATACACACATCCTAAAAGAGGGTAAAGAAAAATATCAAAGTGACTGTGAAGTAATAAGGATGTGTAAGGTACACGGAATTAGAACAGAATTGGGAGTTGAAATTCTATTAAATTGATTGGATAAAATTGAACTCTTCATTTTCAAATCATTTTTGGCACTATCAATTTCAAATCCACACATTTTTGTACTACCAAAAAGCAATATTGGAGCTGTTGTTCCCAATTCCAATTCCATAGTTTGAATTCTGTGTAACAAACGGAGCCTAAATATAGATTAATCTTTTAGAGATGAAAGCTGTATATATCCCTAAGGGAGTACAAATTTTAAACCAGTTTGGACTTTGGACTAGACTTGAGCTCATAGAGGTATTGGCCCAAAACACGGATGATCTCAAAACTCAAATTTCATACCTAATACTAGGGGTGGACACGGTTCAAGTTCAAATCAATACCGAAACTAGAATTTGGTCGGAATCATCCGGAAATTTAGGTACTAGAGCTAAGAAACATAATACAAGTCTCAAATTACCATTAAAGTTAAAATCAAACCACATAAAACGTCTCAAAACTATCCAACCGCATCCAAGTTAAAAAAATAAAACAATTTAAACTACCTAATTGTTCATTTTCAAATACTTCCTTCGTCCCTTAAAATCCTTCCCATTTTGACTTTTAAGAGGATTAAGGAAAGAAAGTTTTTGTGTTGACTTTCCTAGAGTATGCTTGATGTAACTAAAAGTAGGAGGTGATAGTTAGATTATTACTAAAAAGATATGATGCGATAGATATGGTAATAATTAGTAGGGGTAAAAAAGTTTTTTAAATGAAATGAGAAAGACTTTGTAAGACAAAGAAAAAAGAAAAGAAGTTTATGGGACAGAGTGAGTACACATTTGAAAAATAAGAATGCATGTGGTGCTTTAGAATGTGAGATCTAAGGGCCATATAAATTTGAAAAACTAGAAAAAATCAGGAAAAATGAGGTGACAATTTTGTAATTAAATTGAATTTTGTAAAATGCACTATCAGCATCATTCTTATTTCTTTCACAAGGTCCATTCTTACGGGAAACAACTGTGCGTGTGTGTATATATTCTAAAGTTCTTTCAGAGCTTAGATCTAATGCTTATGATGCATATGTTTCCGTTAAGGAGATTTGGATTGTAAGGGCGGTTCTCATCTACGTCTAACCTTAGTATTGGATCGATTTTCGGTATCAGATTTTAACCTTTTAATTGATAAAGTGAATGAAGAAACAATTGAGCATAGAAGTGAATAGTAATCGTAATCGATCGGAAACTGATACGTACCCGTCGGCGACCTGCTCCGGCGAGGCGATGAAATCTACGCACTGTTTGTTCTCTCCTTCCTCCGCTCTCTCTTTCTTATGATACGGTTGCGGCTGGCGACAGCGATTAGGAGGGCTAGGGCACTACCTATTTATGGTAGTTTTTTATGTTTTTCATACTGCGATATTTTGCACAACCGTAAAAAAACAAACAAAAAAGTGACTGACCCCCCAACTCACTCTTTAGAGGGCAAATCATGGATTATTAAATCGGCCGGGTTCAGTGGCCATTGGGTTTCAGTTGTTACGAAAGTCACTGACCCTTACGAATTTTCGTTTATAAAATTGATAATTTTTAACCCCGTAACCCCAGGTAAACCTCCCGCCAAGTCCCGACCCCAAATCATCCTCACCTACATCAATTACACCCCGTAAATTTAATTGACTTTAAAGTCAAAATTGTGACTCCAAAGTTAACTAAATCTGCACCCCGCAATTGACGTAGTTATAGGGATGAGTTGGGATCAGG